ATATTTATTTTAATCTAAGGAACTTGAAGATTATAAAAGTGCTTTTTATTTTAATATTTTTCATTATTTCGAATACCAAACATTTACGCTAATTGACGACATCAATTTCTGCACAGTGTCTTTTAGTTTTTCCCTACTAATGTTCATTCTCTAATCAAATCTTTAGCTGTACTTATTGTTTTGCCACTCTTACACAAAAATTCCCCAAAATTTCTCAATGGGACGGAACTGTGTGCCGATTAATAGTTTCAAGCTTTTTGGTATGAATTTGAATCTCTCGAATTGTACTAATTTTCTTAAAATAATGACAAGTAGCATGATTAGGCCAGAACTAATAGGGGACATCGTGATTTCGATAAAATTTCAAAAGTCTAGCTTGCAAGTATTATTTGATGTAAAAATCCGAGTTTAAAGTTGACGATGTGACAAAAGCTCAAGATCTCAAACCATAGCTGCATATTGCTTGTCAAAATTTAATCTTTAAAAAACTCTGAAACTTTATACCTTTTAGCTTGTTCTTCGTTCGATAAGCCGAAATTTTGATTGATGATCGTCAAATACTAATTGCTGCTTTCTCATCCTTAAAGCCACACTTTCTTCCATATCCTTTTGCTCGTTCGATAGATAGAGAGCTCATGTATTGTTTTATGCCCATACAAACAATAGTTTTGGTAGATTCAGATGCTTTAGCGATTGAAAGTAACGATGTAAAAGAATTTGGTATACTGTTGTGCAGACTTTTTTTTCGTTGTTTTTTTTTTTTTTTTTACTGTTTCAATGACAATTTAATTAATAGAAACATTTTGACTCGTTTGTTGATATTTTTAATACTATAATTACTTAAAATAATTACGCAAAAAAATACATTAAAAATGTGTTAGTGACAAGTTTTAAAACGAAGTTTATGGTTTCAACTTTAAGGATCGCATACTTTAACATAGTTTTAAAGATATGAATAACTTTTGATCATTAAATCGCGCATCAAATATTTAACAGCATAGAATCAGTATAAAAATATAATTTAAAACATATAATATTATATAAAAATATAATATTAAGCTGTAATGTTTCCATATATAATTTACTTTTTTTTTAATAAAGCATATTAAGAAATACTATTAAAGGAAAGTATTTTGTTGAGAACAAAATTGTTAAAATAATCATTTTTATAACGTTTTGGGAAGACCGTAACTATTAGAAAAAATATTTCAAAAAAATAGAAATTCAATGTTAAACAACAAATTAATAAAGTTTGTCTAGAGTAATTAAATAAAAAATATACATTCTATTCCTTTAAAAAAAAAACACGAGAGCCGCTCGATTTTTGCGGCTCCGGCTCCACCAAAAAACAGCGGCTCATCGGCTTCACAGCTCCGGCTCTGGCTCGGCTCCACAAGCCTGGGTATGAACATACTTAAGTTTGGAGTTCGCACAATGTATAAAATTGTTGTATCTGAAACAAACAAAAAATCATGCGGACACCTATGCCCTTGACTGAAATATTTTTTGGTTTGCTGGTTTTCTTTTTATTAATTAAAACATCCAAGTTTGTAATAACTATATAATATTACTGAAACACAAATTTCTGGATTTGCGAGGAGTTCATATGACCAACTATTTGGAAAAACTGGACTCTGTCCTCAGGCGATTCTACGAAAAAAAAGAAGGATGGAGGGTAAATCCTAAAAAAATACCGACTGGTTCCTAAAAAAAAAGGTCCTTAAAACTAAAAATCACCCGACTGAAATGTGTCAAATGCCCAACTTTGTAGGGGGAGGATAGGGGTGTCACAGACCACCATTACCCTTCTCCCTCCGTTAAATCGCCTCTGAATCTATTTCTTTGATAAACAATCTTTAAATTTCATTTGTATGCTACACAATAGTAGCTTATCTATTAATAAGAATCATATTTTTTCTATGAATTATTTTGTTCGACATTTATATATCCGATAATTTATTTAATTTTGTTGTTATTTTAAATTAATTAAATTCACTTGAGCTGATTAATAATATCTTTACTATCTTTACGTTGTTTTTTTTGCGATAAATCTTATTGTAAAGTATAACTTGATATTAAAAAAAAAAATTAAACCCCTCTTTTTTATTGTTTTAAGCGTTTCCGTTGAAAAAAAAAATACACTTCCTTTTATCGACGATCAGCTTATATGATAATCACGATGATGATTATTTGCATAGTTTTGTATTATTTCTTTTTCGAAGCGTAAAAAAATATAATTACGAAGTGTATAGTACTCTAAAGGAATAAGTTTTTATACAGCTACTGTAGTATAAATAGGACGAAAAATTGCAAAATTAAACAATAATAAAACATGAGTTTTGTGAATTAATTAATTATTAAAATACTATTAAAAAAACAAGTTATGTAAACAAAAAACCAAGAAAAAAGAACAACTTTTGTGTAGTAGGGGAGACCGGGGCTAGTTGGCCGCAGGGGTAAGTTGACGAATTGCGTTTATCTTTAAAGCCTTTCATCAGAAAGTGATAAAAATTACACAGAATCTTCCTAATTGACTGTTTCATCATTCAATGTAGTATTGTCAGGATTCGCGCATGCGCATGGGAGATATTAAGATTTAAGTGTTTTTTGGACAAAAACGTAACTTTTGAAACATCGCTTCCTTTTTACTTTACAAAGAAAATAGTTAGTCAAATGGAAAAAAAATTATTGTAAAAGTTCTAGCCACAATTGGTTTACTATATTCAGTTTGACTTTTTTTAAAAGTTGCCGTTTTTCAGGATCTATAGACTGTTTATTGAAAAAAAAGCCTTCGGGGTAAGTTGACAAAATTTTTACGGGGTAAGTTGGCTCATAGCATTTACTATGGAGAAAAATATTTATTTTTATAAAAATAATTTTTTTAATTTTTTTAATTTTTAACAATATTGAAAAAACTTATTCTTACAAAAAAATTATAAAAATTTTTTTTTTAGGTTTTTTGTAACAGGTAAAAAGAGGGCTGCTGTTTTGGCTGTTATACGTACTAATATTTAGCACAAGCTAAAAATAATATCAAATTATTAGCTTAAATTGTTGCCAAAATTAATAGGTAAAAAATTTCTATTAATTTTGCACTTATTAGTACATTAATAATCACGTTTATAGTTTGCGTCAACTTACCCCGTGGTGGGGTAAGTTGGCGCAATTTTTTTTTTTTTTTTTGAGGGCCCCGTAAGGCCCCAAGAATTTTTTTTTGTAAATCCATGAAACTTTTATAAGTTACCCAAGTTCATACGCTTTGAGACTACACTTTAATATTTTCAAAAAAGTGTGCTATTAGGGCTACAGAGCTCATAGAGTAAAAACCGAGCCAACTAGCCCCGGTCTCCCCTAGTTTGAAAAATTTATTAACTCAAGCAAGTAAAAATTTTTTTTATATGAAAAAGCTTTAGCTGATATAAATTAACTTTAGATTTTTGTGAAAATATTTAGACAACCGCTTCTACAACATGCATGTAAAAAAGTTCTCTGATTCGAAGTATTTTGAAAACTTTGCTAAGTTCTGTGCAGTAGAACAATGTAGTTTTGTACTACAAAACGTTTATCTACATAATCTACTAACTGCAGATATAATAATTTTTTTTTTCATTACCAAACATTCATCAAACAACTATTTTTTAACTGGAAATTAATTTTTTATTAGCGGTAACTTTTGGTAATCCAGAAAACAACAGTCTAAGTTACAACCACACTAAAAATCAAATGTTCTACTAAAAAAAATGTTTGACTTAATTGATGAAAATTGCTTTAAAGGAGACATCAAAATAAACTTCACATGGCACTTATCCAGGACTTTTATATCTAGTAGAAAATCTGCTCACACACATCTTTTCCTTTATTAATAAATGCTGGTGCTGGTAGTAAGGCTGGCGAACTTTAATTCAGATAAAACCAATTTTTTTATCCAATCGTTATCGCGATAATTTAGACCTTCCTATATTTATGAACGGTAATGTACTCGATGAGTCATGTACGCTTCGTTTTCTAGGATTAACTCTTGCTTCCGATCTTTCTTGGAAACCGTATGTCAAATCCATTGCAAAATTAGCATCTGCTAAAGTTGCATCTCTTTGTTGTGCTTGCCACTTTCTTACTCCGTATTTTATTTTTTATTTCTTTAAATCTCAAATCCGTCCTTGTATAGAATACTGCATTCATATCTGGGGCGGATCTTCTAATGATGTTCTTTCTCTTTTAGACAAGGTTCAAAAACGCATTGTAAATATAGTTGGACCTGCTCTTGCAGCCAACCTTCAACCATTATTATATCGTCATAATGTTGCTTCTCTTTCTCTTTTCTGCAAATACTATAATGAGCACTGCTCTAAAGAGCTAGCGTCTCTTGTGCCATTTACTAATAATCATTCTCATGTTACTCGTCATTCAATTAAGTCTCATCCTTTTTCAGTGACTGTTCCTAATTGCCCCAAAAACTCTTATTTGTCAAGTTTTTATCATCGAACATTAGCTCTTTGGAACTCGCTTCCTTCATTTTGCTTTCCTGATTCATATAATTTGCAATCTTTTAGGTCGCCTGTCAATCATTATCTTGCTCTATAAACCTTATTTTTTACCGCAGCCTTGTTGGAAGCGAAGATGTAGAAAAAAATAATAATTTTTGTATTATAAATTTTATAGTAAATATTCTGCGTTTGTTAACAAACGCAGAATATTCGCTGTTTAACTTGAACAATTTGACTTCTATAAAAATTTTACGATGATACTGGTATAAATATTGTGTAGCTAATTTAATTTGCTGCAACTTTTTATTTTGTCAATCAAACATAACCACACTTTGATTAGCTAGCGGGTACTTGAAATCGCAATCAATCGCCACGTGATTACTTAATTAAAAGTCGCAATTATAACTAATTGCACCTTTTTTCCTCAAAAAAATTTTATCGACTTTTAGCAAGTAATAGCATTATGTCAGTGCCTAAGTGTGATGTGCATTTAAAAAACTTGAAAAAACAACAAAATTTATTTATAATTACACTTATTATCAATAAAAATAGAAATCTATATTGAAATAATTAATAAATAGTATAAAAATTGTAGAAAATCAATTCGCTTTTTCGTTCCTCAATTTAAACATCATCGTGGGAGAGAATGTTTATACTCACTGATGGGAGTGCTAAATGTACAGTTCTTGCGAAACGAGTTGCTTGAAGTTACACCCTTAAAAAAAAAATTCGAAAAAACTATTGTATTTATTTTTAAAATCAATTTCAACATTTACTTAAATTTTATTTTAAGTATGCTAAATAAAGGCTCGGAAGTCATTCAAACTTTTTAACTACTTTGTTCTGACTTTCTAATTAAGTTTGTTCTGATATCATGAAGTAAACCCACCCATCGTAAATTAATTTATAAAGCGTAAAACAAAGGCATTCCTTAATTTTTTGACAAATATATCAACATCTGTTGGCGTTACAATTTAACACTCTAATTACACTAGGCAACAAAAAATTTTTTTTTATTTTTTTGTATATTTAGCTACTTTATTTAAATTATACTAATTTGGGCTGAAAAAAAGAAAATGACAACAAAAATTTTTTTATTAGCTCTAGTTTCTGAGATATACAATAGCTAAATTTTTATTTCAGTTAATTTGCAACAAAGTAATATAACATATAATTTACATATTCTAATAATATTTAAAGTACATTTGGTTTTTTTATTACAGATATATTCTAACAGTTTTAAACAAAGAAAAAATGATCATCAAGCTAATAGATATAAAGATGATTATGGGGTATCTTCAAGAAATCGCAATCTTTTTGCTATCCTTTTGTAGACTAGTTCTAGAGCATCCTACACACAAACCAACAGTAATCTGAAAGCATAGCCTCATTCCAACAACCCTGATATCTTTGTTCTATTACAGAAGTAATTTGGTGAAAGCTTTTCCCATGTTCATCACTAACAGCTCCATAACTGGGAGGGGGGAGAGAGAAGTCTAGGTGTGAGTGAAGGAAATAAATTTTGAGGAACCTGTTACATCCAAGTTGATCGTATTTTTGCAGAAGTACTGTTACCAATTGAATGTGGTTATCATTTCTTTTGTTGCCTAAAATTCCACAAATCACTCCCTTAAGAGCATCCCAAGTTTCCTTTTCTTGCCCCTTCAAAACTTCGTCAAATGCAGGATTCTTCATAAGTGACGTATTTGTGGCTTAACAAAAATACCCTTTTTAACTTTTGCATTACTTATTTTTGGAAATTTGTTTCTTAAATACCTAAAAGGCTGTCCTTCTTTGTTCATACCTTTGACTAAATTTTCATTAAACCCAAATTAATATGTAATTGTGGAGGAAGAACATCATTTGGATCCGTGAGTGGTTCAGCAATAACATTTTTTTCATCTGTGTTGAGATTTTTTGCAGGCCAGTCTTCTTTTATATAATGTGAACTTCTGCCTCTACTGCCCCACATACACAAAAAGCAGCAATATTTATTATACCCTAATTGCATTCCTAAAAGTATAGCAATGACTTTTAGATCACCACATTTTTCCATTTGTATTCATTGTAATTAATTATATTGAGGAGAACTTTCATATTTATATAAGTCTCTTTCATGTGAACTGCATGATCGATAGAAACAGAAGACGGTTTCCATTGTGCAGTAATACAGCTTTCAAGCTTAGCTTAGACGAGTCTATGAATAATCTCCATTCAGTTAGATCATAGTTCAAATTAAGATAATACTTTATCCAAAGACATCAATGCAGACAACAAAATTATTTTTCTTCTCAAAAAAAGAAAGCAGATTCTGCTGCCATTTTCTGTAATGACATAAAACCTTAACATAAAATTGGAGAAGATTCCACTTCTTTAGTCTTAACCCTAGAAGTTCTGCCTTTTCCTGTGACAAGTCCAGATCTCGAACAAGATTACTTAATTCTACTTGGCACATCATCTGTTAACACAAAATCAGGATCATTTGATGTGGAAGGTTTGTTTTCTTTTTCTTCGATTTCTACTTCATTTCTGCTTTCATTTCATCTGGTTCTAACTCATAATTTTGTGGTAGAGTAGAAACTAGTAAACCATCCGAATGTGAAATAGGTCGAATAGCAGATGGAAAATTTGGATATAACTTTTCCATTGACAAACCTGCCTTCATGGGTGGTGTCAAGCAGAAATAGCAGTCATCTGTATGGCTTTTAGACTCCCTCCATACCATAGGAACAGCAAAAGCCAAAGATCTTTTTTTATTTTACAATCATTCTCATAGTGTAATCAAACAAGGGGTACAGCATATATGTGGAGCCCATGACTTATCCTGTTCCTCTACCTTTATATCCAAGTAATGCTGGTAAGCAGTCTTCACAAGAGGTGTCAAAGTTCTTTTCTGCGAGGAAGATTTTTTCTGTGAGAAAAAATTGTTCACAATTTACACACTTCCTGTTGATTTGTCAAATTTTACACTAGTAAATGAAAAAAAAAAAGAAAAAGAATAGATTAGTCCAGTAACTTTAGCAAACACACATAATTAATATTACAAGTTTTAAACATGAATAAAACATTATGTATAATCAAATACAAAAAAAAAAAAATATCAAAAAATAAAAATTTATATACCCTTGAGAGAATAGTTTTGCTTTTATTTCTTAAAGTAGAGCTAATATGTCATTTTTAATGTCATTTTTGAATTCAGCAGGGGAAAATACATAGTAAATAACTAATTTTGGTTCTGAAACAAAATCACTGTTGGGCAGTGTTATTAAATTCATAATCCTAAATTAGCTATATCTTTATAATACAACTTTAGTCTAAAAGTTTCTCAAAGTATTTAAAAGTCTAGTTTTTTTGGAGGGCCACTAAAGTTGAGAAGGATACATATTTTTTTTATTTTATTTTTTTTGAACTGTTGTTCAACCCTATATTTCAACATTTTAACTACAAAATAAGAGCACAAGTTCAAAAGGTTAATTTTTGAATGGCTAAAGTTTAGAAATTTTAGTATTCAAAATTTGGCAATACACATGTATATTCGAACTTCGGCAATACGTAGGCTGGATTGAGAACATAATTAAAAAAACATGGAAATTTTTATAAAAGCTATTTTTCTTAAACTTTTGTGTGCAAAAATTCAAATTTTGAAATTAAATTTAAATTACTTAATTTTACATCAATGCTGTAGTCATTTTTATCAACATCTTTAAAAATTTCTTGATTCAAATTATGTACTACCAGAATCAATCTCCTAGATCATCGGTTCAATCTTTTTGCAAATTCATGTTATGCAAGTGAGTCCTTTGTAAAATGGGTGGAGAATTGCTCCATAAGCAGTAGATGTTTTTTGCACCCCAAACCGGAAAACCTCTTTTCCAACTTTGAATGAAGAGTTTTGCAGAATACTTTGATAGCTAGTTGAGTTGAGAATTCAGGTAATCTTCAATATTGAAAAGTTCTTAGACACTACATGGCAGATCAACTATTTGCCATGAAGCTTTTTAGATTGTTGCAAAAGCATAAAGATATCTCCTCAACCTAGGTGAGTAGTTCAATGATGGCAACAATCTGAAAAAAAAAAACAATATTAATTTAAGAAAAATTTGTCAATATTCATAATTATCAGAAATAAAAATTTTTAATTATTTTTAATTCTAAAAAAATCAAGTTTACTCAAAATTACCTGTTCACATTTCTCTCATATAAGGATGCTTTCTCTCAGCTTAGCATCAGTTCCTTTTGCTGAGGCTTCCCTAATCCTTACAAGTGGTGGCCTTAACTTCAGGACAGACCTGATCATATTCAAACTGAAATTTAAGCAGATCTTAACAGGCAAAATGATTTTGACAAACTCAACTGAAAGAAATACTTTTAAAACATTGTTTAAAACTACAGTCAAACAAATTGGTTATAATCTGTTATAAAAAATCACTTGAGACTGTCTCAATTTGTTCATTATAACCAGGATGTTATAATCAATTATTCATTCAAAATTTAAAATTTAAGAAATGTTTCAATATGAGATTAATGCTTGCATTGATTGTTCATCCAGGCACACTCATTCCTAATCTTCTGTTGGCTTGATCTTTTTTGTGGGTTTTGGATGACAGTTTCTTGAATGCATCAACGGCATTCTTTATTTCAGAGATGTTGAGGCATTCAGCCTAAGTGCCTGCTAAATTCTCACTGTCAGTTTTGGAATTGCTGCTAGTATAATATACTAGGTTGGTTAAAAAGTTCGCGGAGCGGCACCTATGTTGCAGTAGTAGAAGCAAATTTATAACTGTATTAAACGTATTCATTCTTCGTATGAACGCATAAAAAATTTCAAGTCGATATGTCATTTCAGTCTTTGTTTACAAGCTATTGAAATTAGACGTGTCATAGTATTTTTTAAAATGGAAAATATTGAACATAGTGCTGTAATAAAATTCTTTGTGAAAAAAGGTTTAAAGCCCATGGAAATTCATAATGAAATGGTAAATGTGTTGGGTGATGATGCTCCTTCAAAAACAACAGTATGCAAATGGGCTGCGGAGTTTCAACGTGGGCGTTCAAGCCTTGAAGATGACCCTCGCTCTGGACGTCCAAAAAGTGCTACTACTGAAGAAACGATTAATGCTGTGCATGACATGGTTATGGATGATAGACGATTGACCAAACGTGAAATTGCTGAGGCTGTGGGCATCTCAGATGAACGGGTATTACACATCTTGCACGATGAATTACGTCTGAGAAAGCTGTTGGCAAGATGGGTGCCGCATTCGCTAACTCTGGATCAGAAACGCACTCGAGTAAAACTTTCTCAAGAACATTTGGCCCGTTTTCAAAAGAATAAAACAGATTTTGTGCGTCGATTCGTAACCATGGATGAGACTTGGGTTTACCACTATGATCCGAAGCTGCGACAACAAACTGCAGAGTGGACAGAACCCGGTTGTTCAGCTCCGAAGCAAGTGAAGGCGTCAAAATCGTCAAAGAAGGTTATGGCATCAGTTTTTTGGGATGCGAAAGGAATTTTATTAATAGATTACCTTCAAACCGGTAAAACGATAACAGGTGAATATTATAAAAATCTTTTGGACCAGTTGGATAAAAAAATTCGTGAGAAAAGACCTGGTTTGCTGCATAAAAAAATCATTTATCACCAGGACAACGCACCTGCTCATATCAGCGATGTTGCAAAGGCAAAATTGGTCGAATTAAAGTACGAACGCTTGGAACATCCACCCTATTCACCAGATCTGGCTCCGTCCGACTTCCACCTCTTTCCACATCTCAAAAAATTTCTACGTGGAAAGCGTTTCTCATCACATGAAGAAGTCATTGCAGCCGTAAATGGGTATTTTGAAGGCCTTCCGGAATCGCACTTCAGAGATGGGATACATGAATTAGAGAATCGTTGGAAAAAGTGTATTGCTCTTAAGGGAGAATATACTGAAGAATAAAGTCATTTTTTGAATCATAAAATTGTTTTTTCATTTCCGCTCCGCGAACTTTTCAACCAACCTAGTACAAGCAGCAATATAAATATAATATAAAGGTAGCAATAAATATAATATTTGTTGCATTACCACTTTGACAGGTTTAGCTAATACTAGATGGGAGGAGGGATTTTTAAATCTGTTACAATTTGTTTGTCACTGCCTCCTTTACCAATAAGTTGAAATGAGGAAGCTTTGATCTAACCATGGTTCTGGCTAATTTTACGTGGAGGTTTAGATCCAACTATTTCTCAATACCCTGAAATGCTCAGTCATTTTGATTTGAATTAATTTGAACTAATTAATTAATCATAACTAATTTTCAAAAAAACCTGCCATTTTGAAAACAACCTGCCCTTTTAATTAAAAAACAAATTTTATTGAGTTGTCTGATCTTACCCATTGAACTAACAACATCAGTTTTAGAAGAGATGGTTAAATCTGCGTGTTCAGATTGGTTTCTTTTCTTATTGAGCTGGTAAGTATCATCCAGTTTTTTTTTTATCCCATGTTTCCATAATGAAATAACTACTTTGGCTTGATCTGGATGGAAGGACCTGATTTGACTGTTTATGGAGCTAGTATTGGAGTTTGATATTGATAAAATTTTTCCACAAATTAGTCTTTTCAAAACTTGACTTCAAACATTCATTACAGCTGAACACTTCAATAGCAATTTGCTTGCTATACAAATCACCCCTAAACACCCATACTGCAACTGGTTAACCCTAGATATTCTATTCTAAAAAATTTTGCATTGCCTGTGTCACAGAGTTTTAACTTAGTATTGTTAGTATGGTGGGGGTAAAAACCATGTTTTTTTAACCATTTTTCATAAAATTTTAATATGTAATTTATTATTTCTCTAAACACATAAACAAAATTAAAAAAAATAATGATTTTAATTAAGAACTTTAAAAAAAAATTACATGAATTTGGTCTCGATTTTCACTCCAGTATGATGCAGGCTGTTCATGAACCAAATCATGTTGCTAAAAATTACAATAAATCAAATTAACTTGATATTTATAATTATTAAAAATTAAATAAACTTTATATCTATTTTTTTATTAAAACAAGTGCATCATAATATTACGTAAAGTAGAGAAAACAATGTCAAACAAAATTCGAAACTACTCGAACTACGAAAAGTAGAGAAAACAATGTCAAACAAAACTCTAAAACTAAGCTAGTAATGTCAGATCATTTATCATTTTTGCAAATGTTTTTGTAAGAATGATATAGTAAAAACTTTATCTTTTATTTTTCAATAAATTTTCCTCGAAAAAAAAATTATTTCTAAAAATTTAATATAGTATAATAAGTCTGTACTCAAAGATTTTACAGCTCAGTAAAGCAATAAACAACAATCAAAATAAAAACTCTCTTGAGACAAATAATCTTTTACAAAAATAAACAAAGACCTGTCTAACCTGTCTTACTTGTTACTATCTTTATTGCCATTTTTTCCAAAACTAGTACATTATAAGCATTTTATAAGGGGTGAGAACACAACAAGCTGGACAAATACATGCAGGACAATACATTTATTCTAAATTGCTTGTTAATCTTAATATTAATTGTACTTTAATATAAATGCTTGCTATTAAAGTTAATGTTTATAACATTTTGAAACTATCTGGAAGAAACAAAAAAACAACAGTCTATTACAATCAGGGATCAAATCTTTGAGTTTTGTTTCTCATAATTAAATAGTGAAAATAGTTTTAAAATTATTTATAATTTTCACATATAATAATTTGAAAATGTTTTTTATTTTGAATCATGGATCTTGAAGTATTTTAAAACATTTGCTCTATTCAAAAATAAAAAATAACTAAGTACTCAAGAATTGTATTAGAGTTTTTCCAAAAAATAATGTACTGGAATTCGTATATATTATTTCTATTATTTTTAAAACGCTAAAATTGTTAATTTCTAATTTATCATGAAAATTAAAAAAAAAATTAAACAACAAAAACCTGAATAGGAACTCTATCATCAGGAACAAAATCTAAATAAAAAAAGTTAACAAAGATGATTCTTAAACATAGTAAAAATAGTTTGAAAACTATTAAAAAATAAAAGTTTGAAGACTTTTTTTTTTTAATCTTTGATTTTCAAGTATTTTGAAATGTTTGCTTTATTTAAAGATAAAAAATAAACAAGTACTCAAAAATCCACTTTTGTTAGAACTATAATAGAGATTTTCCAGAAAATAAATCCACACATGGAATTTGATATACTAATTCCATAGTTAAAAATAATTGTCTATTATTTTTAAAACAAAATAATTAGCAATTTCTAATTTATTCTCATGTGAATCTAATGTATATAAAGTTTGTAATGAAATCACGCACAGAATAAAAAAAGCAAATTATAGTAAATAAATAGACTTAATTTTCTCAGAAAAAATAAGTTTTACCAATATATACACAGTTTTTTTTAATAGTATCTTATATATTAGTAAGGATTTTAAGAAAAATACAGAATGATACTATGTATTACAGCAATAAAATTGCTTGCAAGTGTTTCAAATGAAAGATTATTTCATTACAAAATATTTAACATATTTTTAATGAGAAATATCAGTCACCAAATATTTTTAGCTACAGCGTTAAGAAAATCATTATATATTTTTCAAACTATTGTGGCATTTACATAAAAAAATATAAAATAATAAGAATATATATTTAATCATTCAGGTAGTCTAAAATATGATAAAGATATTTTTATTATAATTGTTTATTAAAATTTATATACATACTGTTATTATAACAATATACATACTGTTATTATACCAATATACATACTGTTATTATAACAGTATGTATATTGTTACCAGTGCCGGATCAAGGGGGGGGGCTATAGCCCAGGACCCCGCAAATTTAGGGGCCCCCAAAAAAATACAACGAGGTTCGTTGTTCTTTTTGATTTTTACACAAAAATAAAATAAAAATTTGTTTTTAAGGGATATTTATTAGAAATTTTCATTCTTTTATTTAGTAGAACATTTTATCAGTAGAACATTTTATCATTTTATTTCTTAACAAAAAGTACAAATATTTGTATTTGTATTTGGAAAATGTCGATTAAATATATTTGAATTTGTATTTGGAAACCTAGAATTAACGTATTTGTATTTGATCAAATGTATTTGAGCCCAATGCTAGCAAAAATTAGTATATATAGTATATATACTGACAGATATTTTATTGAAACAAAAATATTTTGATTCAAAAATATTGAAAACGTTATTTTCTTTGGAACAAAACTATTTGAAGGAAAGCAAGAACCAAATTTTGATATAATTGTGACAATTGAATAACAAAAATAAACTTTTATATTTGTTTTTAAATATCTTTAAACAAAACACTTAAATAATATTTTTTACATAACAGCTTAAAAAAGGTTTCACCTTTTGTAAAATCACACATTGTTGTTGTTTTATAGTCATCAGGAAGCGGAGGTGGGTGAAACTGTAAATAAACAGTTTTGCTATAAGAAAATTTTTGTTAAAAAAGCAATTTAAAATTGGTACTATATATACATGATCATTTAAAATAAAATTGTTTATAATAAAAGATTTATGTAAGTTCATGGTCTTCATTATATTACTTAAACATTAAACCAGGGGTCAGCAACCTGTGGCTCGCAAACCACATGTGGTTCTTTTGATGTTAATAAAAATAATATTAAAAAAAAGATGTTGGTAGCTTTTTAAAAACTGTAAAACTTTGTAAATTACCACTTTTGGCTCTTCCGTCTCAAAAGGTTGTTAACTCCTGGCAACAGGGATCAAAAGTACTAGACTCTATTAGAAATAATTGGCTTTTACTGTGAAATTAGATTAGATCTAAAGTTAAAGTGATGAGGATTGGTACATTGTAGTGTTGTATTAGTTTGAAATATGTTCATAATTTAAACATGTAAGTGTGTTCCTAAGTTAAAAGTTAGAAAAAAAAATTTTCTATGCCTTTTACTTTTATTCGCTTTTTGTTCAGAGCAAAAATTTGTAACTTAAAATGGCTTTTTGTTCAGAGCAAAAATTTGTAACTTAAAATGGTTTTTTGTTCAGAGCAAGAATTTGTAACTTAAATTGGTTTTCAAATTTAAATAAGTTTTTTTTTTCTATACATTTTACTTTTAATTACTTTTTTGTTTTAGCAGTAAACTAGTCTATTTAAAATGTTGTTATGTTTTTTTCCCATTCAAATTTGCTTTTTAGAAAGAAGGTAGGGGAGGAGGGGGTAATGGAATGTTGATGTAATTTTATAGGCAGGTCTCTGGAATTTATTTGTGCATATATATATATTAGGGTTTTAACCTAACCAAAAAACTTTTAACCTGACCAAAAAAGTTTCACATGCACCCTATCTCAATCATTCTTATTTATCCAGTACAAGGTATTTTTATATGCTAGGTTGCATGGATTTATTCTCCCCCCTTCCTCTCGGTACCCCTAATTTATGGATTGAATAGTAGAAAATTGTCTATTTTACATTTGTTTTTGTTCTGGAAAAAAAAAAACTTTCATTTAAGAGGTATTACTTGTACATATTGGCCATTTAAAGACAAATAAAGTCGAAAATCGCATAAAAATTACATATTAATGTGATTTTTATCCGATTTTAGACATATAATGAGATTTTTAAACAAAAATTCAAATGTTATGTCTTTGATGAGTAAAGTCAGATAGTCTTGATTCAAATATGTTGTTTTGCAATATTTTGTCATTGTTTTAGTGGCATTGATTCTCTATTTAAATATTTGCTTTTATGTAAAATATTATAAGACCCTTTCATTTTATAATTTTCAGATTATAACAAATTTCTTAAAATATATAATGGCCGATGATGGTGAAGATGGGTTTCCTCATAAATCTGCAAGGACTAGAAATGGTCGGAGTACTGTAAGAGAGAAAAATGAGGAAAGCTCCTTGGTTACTACACGTTTCAGAAGTCCTCCTCCAATGAGATATACTTCTCCTTGGACTAGCAGGAACCTCAAGTACATCCTTCAACATAAGTTTAGCTCCACAGAGAACTAATAGGTGTAAAAGAACAATCTACATACTTCAGTATCCACTACATATGTTTGCACCAAACAGGTATTATTTTAAAATTTAATTAAAATAATAAATTGGAAAAGCTTTTTTTAGGTAAAAAACTTTTGAAACAAATATGTAAAGACTTTTTTTTGAATTTTTTTTAGACTACCCACACTGGGAAAAGTTTGTCGTAGAATATATATCTGGCTCAGAGCAAGTAAGAATAACGCAAAACTATCCTGTGCACAAAAGACATGTCAAGATCTATGCTTTGCATTGGAGGGGAGTGTGAGAAAAGTAACAGGGGAGAATATACTGGAGTATGCATTTTGAGAGAACTGTTAAGTCTTTGGGACAAGGGCGAATTTGATTCAAGATTTCGGGTTACAGAACAAGTAGTGAAGAAGAAGCTTGAGAAATCTTATGATTGCTACAAGAAACTGTGTAGTTTTAGAACCCTTATGGAAATAAACAAGGGCAAAGAAGAGCAATATAAAACAACAACAGAGAGTTTTATAGAAGAAGCAAACTGTATTTTTCCTGTTTATAAAACAGACATCTTAAAACTTATGAGATGACAAAAATAGAGACAAGCAAGCAAAGACAGAAGATATTGAGTTCCTGAAAAGAGCATTCAAAGGAGAAATGGTTAAGTTTGACACTGGGAAAGATAAAACTTATCAAGAAAAAATCATAGGCGGGGAAAAACGAATGTTAGATATGATAGAAAGTATGCGTAGAGAAGAACAACATAAAAAAGAAAAACGAGAAATGTCAAAGAAAAAAGCTATAGAGGACATAGAAAGGATGAAAGATTTTGAGATAGAACTATCTTCAAGTAGTACAAGTGCCACTGATACTGACAGTGAATTTGAGCCTTGCCAAAAAAAAAAGAAGATTAGTAAAGATAGAGTTTACATGAAACTTCACTTCTGTCCTCACTTTTCAAGGTTGGTGGTGTTGATCTAAATACAGTTCCTGTATCAAAGAGTAGTCTACATAGAAACAAAAAGATTGTGATTGAAAATAAAGCTAGAATAGTGAGAGAAGAAAATCTGGAAAAAGTTCGGGGTTTAAAGGTCATCATTCATTTTGATACAAAACTGGTCAAACACTATTGAACTGACCAAAAAATGTCTGAAACTGTAGAGGCTTGCTCTCAGTATATCATCCCTCCAGGTCAATGAACCCTTAGATTTTTTGCTAGGAGTTCTAGAAATTAAGTCATTTAAAGGGCAGGATCAAGCTATAGCTATTCAGAACATATTAGAGTATTATGAATTCACTGACCAGATCATTGGATGTATTGCCGATACAACAGCCTCTAATACTGGAAAATACAAGGGGTCAATTAAGTTTTTGGTGGATCATGTGCTTAAAAAACCTGTGCTATGGCTGCTCTGTAGGTAATTAAATTATTTTGATAACATATTTTAAAAGTTTGTTGCACAAATTCAATTATGGGAGAGAGGAGTATATGGTAGGTACTGATTTTCATAGAAGGGTGTTAGATACTAAGAACTTCTGCATAACAGCCCTAAAACAAGATTGCTTTCAAAGGGGAGATTATAAAGTTCTTTGTGAGCTAATAGTGATTTACCTTGGTGGCCATGTACCTGGTTTCCAGTTCAAACAGGTGCCCACCATCAAGCAAGGTTCATGGCTGATTGTCTATACTTGCTTAAAATGCAGCTGACTTCAAAGATTAATTTAATGCTGAATAAAAGTGAGAAAGATATGCTTGAACTGTCAACTGACTTATTGTCACATTTTATGGAGCATACTTTTTAAAGTCTCCTATGGAAGCCCAGGCTCCATCACACGATTTGAATGGTTTTAAGCTAACTTATGAAATGATGAGCAATAAGCTATATATAAGTATGGCCTCCTGGGAAAGCTGCTCCATGCAAGCCTGGTCCGTCATAGTTGGTACCTGACCCCACAGCTAGTTATTCTTTCAATAGCAAATAGACAATTAGGACTGAAGGAAAGAGCTAGACTAGCTCAGAAGCTGCTTGGTTTCAATTGTCTGCAACCTGATGATTTTGAAAGGGAACAGCCTCAACCTCCAACTGATGTAGTTCCCATGTCAGTTTTGTCCGATTTTATCACTAAGGAGTCCTGGCTGCTCTTCACATACCTAGGTATAAATACGGGAGTAATCAACACATAGATAAAGGATAACTTTGAAAATGATTTCTACAAACATTTTCAACATCAGATCAAGAATCTAGAAGTAGTAAATGACAGGGCTGAGCAACACATAAAACTTGTGCAAGATTTTGTGGCTGAAAGTCATGAAGGTCTTTTACAGGATACATTGCAAGTTGTGCAAAAAAACCGAAAAGAGGTTGGAAAAGACATGAAAAAAAGTGATTTTATGTAATTTTTATGCGATTTTTGACTTTATTTGTCTTTAAATGACCAATATGTAAAAGTATTACATCTTAAATGAAAGATTTTTTTTTCCAGAACAAAAATAAATTTTATATATACATACACACATACATACATACTTATATATATATAATATAAAGGGTATATATATGTATACATTTATTTAACCATTTACTAAATAATACCTGATATCATCTAAAAGTTCTTTCGTTTTCATTTCTCGCCTTTTACCATGTGCTTTAGGGAAAAAAGTTACATTATTTCTATCCTTGATAGGTTCCTTGTTAGATGCACATAAAGATTCAGCTTCCCTTTGCATAAGAATACCCTTTAATAAAAAAATATATATACTTGTAATTTCTTTTGAGCACTGTTTTTTAGTAAAGTACAACATATACAGAAATTCTAAGCAACATCAGTTTTTATAAAAATAAAAATAAAAATGCAAACTCAATTTATTTTATAAGTCATTTTGATAAAAATTTTACTAATTCTAGCAAGACGGTCACTCTTGAAACTGTGTAATAATTAAAGGAAGGAAGATATCTTTCCTGTTTGAAATTAAATTTGACAAATTTCTATGTAATTTGTTTGCCTTGATTTATAGTTAATATTTTTAAAGAAGTAAAACTACTTTTTGTATTGTTTTTAAATTACTCAATTGTGTTTTTAAAGCAATTACAAGGCCTAGAATTTGACTCTTAAAATTACAATATACAACCTACCTTATAAAAATAACAAAAAACCTTTGACCTAATTTTTTACATTTGAAAACATAGGTGCTAGAAACATTCTTTAAAAATAATAAATATTTGTATAAAAATAGACCTATAAGTTGGAATAAAATTTGGAGTTTTTAGTAAACTTAAAAAGATTATCTTGCATTCAAACAAAAAAAAAATAGTTCAGAAAATTAGTAAAAGAGTTCAGAATAGAATATAAAATTGATTTAAATATTTAACTATTTTTTCAACATAAATATTCAAAATTTTAAATATTTTATGCTTGAAACTTTAAACATAAAAGATTTACTTACAAAATGTCCTCTAACTTGTAAATCTTTCATAGACTGATCTTTATCAATATGTGCAACTTGTCGCTATATATATATATATATTCTGCATTAAAATTGAAAATTTTTGAAAATTTGATAAAAATAGATAAAAACAACTCATCC